GTAACGACCTCAACTAGTAGAATCGGTCAAGAGTTACACGATCAGAAGACAGGTGCACAAATAATTATGTAAGAATTTTTTAATTTCATAACGCTAAGAGGTGATTATATTATAGTGTACTAGCGACCCGCCCCAGCTTCGCACGGGTGCAATGCTGAATGTTTGTTTTCGACATTATTCGGTATTAGAAACCTCTAAAACTATCGGTGTTTCTCTACTACATTATGCATGAATTATACATATAAACCTTACTCTGGAATCACTCTATCTATTAAAGAAAACCGCATTAAAATCCGTTGCGTAGTTTTAAAGTTCTAAGCATATATAGGGACAGACAGCCAGCGGGATGACTTTTTTTATACTATGTAGTGATTATATAGTCACTATGATGGGCAAAAGAGGCGTTGGAGAGCGTAAAAAATAATGGACGAGGAACGTAAGTGAGTGGACCGTTATTGCAAAAGCAGAACCGCTGTTTCTACTGGAGAGGAATTCGGGAAGCTGACGGCCTACCTCAAGCAATGGAGAAACGCTTAAAGAAGAATACGAATATAGTCACTGCATGCGAAAGAAATGTTAACCACTGGCTCAAATATACCTACTGTTAACGTTGTAACGCGAAAGAACATTGTTCCAATGAAAAACATTCTGTTTGCATCAGCCGGTCGCTATCGAGGTTACGATAGGTCAGGTTTCATTGCATAAGTGACAGCGGATACCAGTTAATTAATCTCAGTCAGTGGGTCAGTTTGAAAAACATTAGGATACACCATGCGATAGGGATGGAGAGACGATTGAGATTTCGGAAATACTTTAATACATTCTTTCTTACACTTACACTTTTCATTCTTACACTTCTTTTACATAACTTTAACTTTAAAAAAAAAGATTTATTTCAAAGTGGGCAAAGGTGACTTCATTATGTGTTTTTTCCTAAAATTAGAAAATATTTTTTTTTTGTCAATCATAATTGCTTTGTTTAATATAGTAAGTTAAGGCTTATGTTAAGCTCTTTTTGTGAAAAATCACCACTTCACTAAATTAGACCTGTTCAGAGAAGAACCGACAAGAAACTGCGGACTTGTTATTTTTTTTTAATTCTTTATATACCGTATGAATGGTATAAAATTAGCAGCAGCCAGGGGACTTGCAAGTGCAGAGCAAGAGTCATCTCCACACATCCTTGTCCTCTACGTATTCTTCGACATTATAATAGGCCCATTCCATTAGGGTAGCTTTTAATATGCATTATTGTGTATTTATTAATCGTGGTGAATTTAAGTACAAGACAATAGCTAGTTTTATTAAGTGTGTCATTAAAATTCTGTTCAAGCTAACGACTGTACTAATCGATGCTAATTAAAAGTACTTCATTTCTGTGTCTACAATTGCCACATGCAGGCTCATAAATATTTGCAGTTGAACTACAAGTACTGGCTCTATTGTTGTTACCGACATAAATATTTTTTGCTTAATGTTACGATTGATATTTTTATTACTCTTATTTGTTATCTCTTTTTTATAATTCTTTTTTCTTTTGACCTCGGCCTTTTTTTAATTTTTATATTCTGTGTGTTCCTTTGGCTAACTCGTTGCATTTTACTATTGTGTAGTACCTATGTTATAGTTAATTATGTATTATATTGTACAGTGAATTATGTGGTGTACTATTATTTAACGTATTAAATTTTTTATTCAAACGAAATATAAACTATATCAACCAGGGATAACATAGCTTTTCAGATGAAAGCAAATGTTTAGAAGCGATAAAATCTGATTACCCATCAGATAAAGACAGAATATGTAAAACATCTTTATAGTACTAGTAAAAATCAGTCCAAAATTATCGCGTAAAATATATATCTTATTACAAATACAAAAAGTTCTCAAACGAAAAGTTCAAAGGTGCCAGTCATGCGTATTAGGATGAAATTTTAAATACCGACCGATCTTTATTTTTCATTCATGGTTTGGAATATAGATATGGTAATGGTAGTTTACGCAAACTGATAGTCGTACATAGTTAGCTATTAATTTGAATAATACGACCACTTTATATATAAAAAAGTAAAGTAACGTCCTGTATATGTCATACTATTGGATAAAGGCCTTCTCTGTACAGAGCGTATTAGGGAATAGTACACCAGGCGATCCCACTGCGGATCGGACTTAACATAGCTACGAAATATTTTTATTTATTACTATTTCGAAAATATGCAGGTCACCATGTTTTACTTCATCGCTGAGCACTTGATACGTCAGCACTTAGGCGATTAGCAATTTAATTGGTTCCGGCACCGACATTAGGATCCTGGGTCGCACGAATATCCCGTTTTTTTTTTTTAATTTTTTTTTGTTTTATGGTAAATCATTTCTCACAAGTCGCTCTAACGGTCACTGAGTGCGCCTCCCCTGATCCGAATTCAAAGTACCAACTATTACGCACCGCAGGAAACTAGCATGCGTTGTTCGCCGACACACAGACAAACGTGCCCGCTTGTGTGATAGAGGGCGGGGCTGCCACTGTATGCATACCGCACATAACAACACGCGCACATGCTTTATTTGCTAATTATCGCATTTCGTATTTTCTCGCAAAGGAGATCTTCGCTTGGACGTGTTGACGTAGTAGTTTAAACGTTTGCCGGGCATCCGAGGTTGCAGTGTTGAATGCCAGTAACTGGCACCACCTGTTTCATATCTCGAATTGTGATAAGCCTTATAGCTTTTTGTATTGCTTAATAAAACAATTATTTAATAAATCAGATTATCAGAATTATTTAATAATTATGATATAAATCAGAATTGTACAGTCAAATTGAGAACGTCAACCAACTTCCGATCTGTTATAAGGCTGCAAAATAAGCGTTATGTAATCCTTATGACGGGGCCCAGAGGAATTCGGCCGTGTGTTTCGCTACGCGTCGCGAATGGGCCAATTGTGTCCAAATTTCCAGCCCAACGGTCGCGGCGTTATCTAACCGTGCCGAATTCTGTCACTTTTTGGTGTTATTTCGAAATAACACCAAAAAATGACAGAAATATGACTTAGCGCAAGTGGACCGACGACGACGTAAGAGATGATGAGTCCTTGGCGCAGTTGCCAAGGTATTGGCTTCGGCTACGGGGTTTTGGGCTCGATTCCCATACGAGTTAATTATTTTTCTGACCCGCAGATGGATGTTGATCTGGGTGATTGTCCACGTGAAGTTTTTGTATGTTCGTTCTTACAACACAGGATAATGTTAACCTATAGCAAGGTGCTTTCGAATAGAAGACTACAGTAGGTCTTCCAGATCGCATTAGTCGTCGGGACTTCCCAATCCCTTCCATACAAAATACAAATACAGATGAGTTGCGGGCAACTGTTAAATAGCAGGCTTGTTTATTGTGGAATGTTTTTTTTTGTTGGTGGGTTGAGGGAACCTTTGATTATGATGATGAGCACCTCGTATGTCCAACTTCATGGATGGCGTAATGGAGTAAATTTAGGTTCAGCATAGTATAGTACATAATAAATTTTTCCTTTAGCCATTAAGATATATAGCACGACGAGAAGCCTCTGCATAGTTCTTTTTGTCATTAAGATATTTTTTTGTTATTAAGTCGATTCGTCCCTTAGGTCAAAAAGAGTAAACGATAAGTTCTGAATCAACTCAGCTTGATTTTCATTTCAATGGGTTATACTTTTTTACGGTGGTAGGGCCACGCAGCAGCCTCGGCTGTTGCATGAATGGGCAGGCTCGTCCGGGTAAGTATCACTACCTCACAGAAGACCAGCGTAAAGTGGAAGTATGACAAATACTTTCGCGTTTCGTCTGGTGAGTGAGGTAGCCGGAGCCCAATTTTCAATAGGTTGTCAACGCCTCTGTAACCCTCGGGTGTAGCAGATGTCCATGGGCGTTGGTATTCACTTACCATCAGGTGAACCGTTTGCTCGTTTGGCAACTTTTCCCATAAAAAAATACTTAAACCTCGAATATAACTTGTTTACCAATTTCTTGAGGTTAATTTTTATTTTAAAATATTTTAAGTTTGATTAGTATTAGTACTTCTGCTCTCTCAAACTAGCACAGAAACTTTACGAAATAGTTTTCATATTTCTTTTTATACATCGCGCCAGTACAAATGTAATATATTATACATTTATGAAATTATAAGGCTACAAGTGAGTTCGTTAATGTATATTTACATCTGTGTCACTTTTACTCGGCTTAACTAGCATTGTGGAGATAGGTAACGGTTTTGGTTTCAAGCTTTTTAACGATAACATAACGATAACTCTTATCTCTAGAGACGCTACTCAGATGCAATGAGTGTGCAAATCGTGGGGGAATGCCGGGTGTATTGCCTAATTGTCCTATTGTTCTCGTCTGGCAAGTGGAGCAGGGGGCTATTTGCGAAAATCGTTACCGTGACTCTACCAGCCTATGTGGCATTCGTTCAATTTACCGACAAATGCATCCATTCATTTAGATAAAATGTAATTAACGATAACGATCGATTGGTTTTAAATGTAACAGCTTCTGATATTATATCGTGCATTTATGATGCACAAGAAAAGATTAATTCTAGAGATGGTTAGATTTATATCTAGCATGCGTTGTTATTTACGCATGGACGTATTTGTCTATTTTTTAATTACCGTTAGGGTCCCGTTTCTTCGTGACTATGTACGGACAACGACATTTTGGCCTTTCAGAATAGTACATGAGGACAGGGACAATCTTCTTTATATATAAGAAATTAGCTGTTTTTTCTTATGTTTATTTTTTTATGTTCTTATGTTTATGCTCACAAAACTGAAAAACTGGCCGATGGATTGTCTTGATTGGGGTCACTTGGTGGACTATGCCATGATACCCTTTATACAGAGCATAGGCTGGTACTTTACTTTACTTTTGTATAATGTAAAATGTCAAACCAACTTTCCCATCGATTAATTAACATCAAGTTCTATAAAGCAACGTGTAATCGAGGCTACGTTCTCTTGTCACCAGGTGTGGCACAAAGGTTGCTTCAAATGCCAAGAGTGCGGAATGACACTCAACATGCGTACCTACAAGGGGTACGGCAAGCTGCCTTACTGCGAAGCGTGAGTACATATTTTTCTATCACAATTATATATTTTAGGTGTGTCCTTGGTCATCAAGTAGTAAAGGGATATAACGGACCCTTATACATTCCCTTTACAAACATTCAGCATAGTTTTCATATTTCTCTCCATCGGCAATCGCATCTTAACAATGAACTATTTATGTACTTTTTTTACACTAAAAGTTGGCAAGTGAGCAAGTGGTTCACCTGACCTAAAGTGATTATCGGCGCTGATGAGAGGGACAACTGCAACTCCTAGCCAGGATGCGCACACGTTGGCAACATTTAAAAAAAATGCAGTTTTTCCCACTTTACCTCTGATAGCAGTCTGGATAAGAGTGAATCGCCTTCTATTCATTCATTGCATTTCCAACCAATAACTGTTTCATCGCTTACCATAGAGCCAGACGGTAGTCAAGCAAGCACAGTTTACTGTGGTTGGGCCACGCAGCACCTTCGGCTGTTGCACGAATGGGCAGGCTCGTCCGGGTAAGTACCACGACCTCACAGAAGACCGGCGTAAAGTGGAAGTATAATACTTTCGCGTTTCGTCAGGTGCGTGAGGTTGCCGGAGCCCAATTTTTAAAGGGTTGTCAACGCATCTGCAACCATCGGGTGTTGCAGATGTCCATGGGCGGCGATTTTCACTTAACATCAGGTGAACCGCCTGCTCGTTTGGCAACTTTTCGCATAAAAAAAGCAGTAAATAGTCCATAATAAATAAATTTGCATGCCATCGTGAAGCAGCAATGGAGAGTTCCGTAACTCGCATCGTCATAGTAAATCCAATGCGCGTGTCTGCCACCGCCGAAGCGCATCGGCTCGCAGAGCAATCCATCACGCTGTTTTCACTTCTCTTGTGTGGGGGCGGTTTATCGCCTGAATTATTTATCAACTTTCGTCCCCCCGTCACGGCTGCATCGGTGCTCTCCCGACCGATATTACGTGCGTGTTAACTGTCGTCATCACTGTTATTATAGCCCCTTAAGTGGCCATGGACCGTGTTAACGCTGCCAGTTAAATTACACGCTCATATATAGCTGTTCGCTAGATGTGAGCGTGTTGGAGATGTTATACTACCAACTGTGGTAGGGCCACACAATATTAGCTGTTGCACGAATGGGCAGATTCGGGGAAGTACCACGACCTCATAGAGAACCAGCATGAAGTGAGAGAGGTAACCGAGGCCCACTTCATTACACCTATTTTAAACGGTCGGTTAGTCTTCAAGGCTCGCTTTTTATGCTTTTATCCTTTTTTTTTAAAAAAAAAACATTGCCATTACTTTATGATGATTTTACCCCGTGTTGTAATGACGTTTTACAAACATAAATTTCACGCAGACAAACACCCAGATGCGAAACAACTATCTGTGGGTCACGCAAATAGTTGTCCCGTGTGGGAATCGAACCCACGACCCCTAACGCCGAAGCCAATATTTTGGTAACTGCGCCACGGAGTCATCTAAGGCTGCATTATGATTGGATTTCTAAATGGAGAACAGAGGTGAATCCTGAGAGTTCTGCAATATATTTTACAAGAGGCCCTATAGTCAATTTCATCACTACTATCATCAAAAGTTATCGCAAGACAAATAATGCATTTCGACCAACAGTTTACTTAGGAAATGGAGGTCAAATATTTCGGAGTTACGTTCTACACCGACATGTCATTCCGTACCAACATAAACAACGTGAGAAACAAAGCCGCATTCGTTTCACGCAGACTATTATCTCACGAATTCTTCGAGCAAAATGTCCGGCATAAACTTTTACAACGAGTATACACGGTTTGCCGTATGACCTATATTCTAGTACGTCTGCGCGTCGTTAGCTCACGTTTCTCAAGCTCACCTGAAAACTTCAAGAAGTGCTAAATTAACTTCATCCGCACTGAAATTGGTGCAAGTTGGTATTTATTTATTTATTGTTAAGAACCACCAACGGAATAACATGTTGTTTTTAAATTAAATCTGACAATAGTCTTAGGACCTAAGATTTACATGATTCCGTTTAAAGGTAGTTACAGCATGGTTAAAAAGACAATAAGTGTACGATAACTCAATTGTTACAAGTACGAGTTAAATACTAATAGAAAACAAAAAAAAAACAATAAGGCAATAAGATAAATATAAAAATTAAAAAATTATAAAAAATAACTTAACATTTTCGGATTTAATATCGAGTTTATATTAAATTTTGGTAGTATTTTTACTTTGAAGTATCAAAGACCCACAGTGATTGCACTTTCCCGACGTCACCGTGTGACTTTAGATGTTTAAAAAAAAGTTACTTCGAGCGAGCCAAGAATCATCGCGATCCCGTGATGGTACTGGGTCGAAATTATCCCGGATACAACTCGGGTCCCGCCCAACACTCCACATACACAAAGGGCAAATCCGAGACCTGGGTATGCTCGGGCTGATCTCACCGCTCTCGGCGAACGAATAAAACACACAGTCGACGGTCTGCATTAGTATATCAAGGTAATAAATAAATAAAATAAATATTTTCGGAAACATTTTTCCCAAACTAATCCTTGTACTATGGGTACTAAAAAACTGATAACATCTTGTAAATAAATACATTTATAAATATATAAACACGCAGACACTGAAAAAAAAAACTACGTTCATCAGACAATATTTTTCCAGTAGGTAGTGGGGATCGAACCCACACCCTCCCGCGCAAGAGGTTCACTACTCCCCACGCCAATCGGATCGTGAAGCTCGTGAAGAATTTAGCTTTTCGACGATCTCTGTGCCCAATGCAGGCTTTTGTAGTCTATTTCATGAAACCGCGAACATAGATTATCAAAAACAAAAATAAGCAGGAGTTAGTACGAACTCCTTAGTACGATGTCTCCGCTCAGTACGTAATTCATTGCGGCTCATTACCGAGCGTGCCATTGGTTCTAGTGGTAATGAACAAAGAGCCGATGAATCAGCTGGGACGTTGCTCGATGGAGTTACTCACATCATAATTGATACTCATCATCGTCCATATTGTAGAAGTTCATTGCAACGGTTCGCGTGAATCATTCGACGGTTTTCCCTGTCCTTATTTATATGCCATATGGGTCGTGGGTTTTGAGCGACCACGAGCTAAACGAGTTCTTTTAGTTGGAAAGGTTTGCCTGCTAGTTTGAGAGTTCGAGTTAGGATTTGATACTTCTACCGTTCTCAGTTCGCACTGGTTACAAAGTTGGGTATAAAAATAGATCAAACATTTACATAATACTTTTTTTTATAATAATAAAACTGATAATTTTATCGCAATGCCGATATAACCAATTTAGTAAGTATTATATATTTTTTTTACATTTTCCTTACTTTAGGATTTATTATCCTGTGTTGAAGGGACATTTTGCAAACATAAATTTCACGTGGACAAACACCCAGATGCGAAACAGACTATCTGTGGGTTACACAAATAGTTGTCTCGTGTGGGAATCGAACCCACGACCCCCAACGCTGAAACCAATACCTTGGCAACTGCGTCACTGAGTCATCCAATAATTAAATTAATCGCACTATGTATCGATCAACAAGTAGTTGAACGCTGAACCTTTTGTTCTAAATGAAACCGAAAGCTTTGCACGAACACGAACACTGTTTTTATATGTAGGACGCGCCATGTATGTAGCCGCTTATCCACTTCCTAAAGCTGAGTAAACACTGGACCGTTCATGGCATACAATTTCTGTCCATAACTAAGACGGCCCTGACCTCTAAACTACTAGTGTTGCCGACACCTTTCAACCTCAAACTTAAATATACACCGCGGTGTAGTGCATGGTTACATCACAGTGATGTAACATACATAGGTAACACATTTTTAAATCGATCGTATCGTAATTTGTAGATGCTAATTAGAGCTACAACCAAGGTTTAATTGAATAAACAATACATTTGGAACAACCTTAAGAGAAAGATGCGATGGTTATATTATTAGAAACTTAAATTAATCTATATAGGATGTGTTATAAAAACGTAATTTAAGAAAAGTATATGTGTACTTATGTACGCACGTAAGAAATTATACATCTGTAGCGTAACTGCGCCAGTACTTTTTGTTTGTGAAAATAACATTAAATGCAATTGATAACGGTTTAATTTAAGGCGGCTACCCGATTGGCTTGGGGCGTAGTGAACTTGCCTCTTGCCTCTTGCATTGGGTGTGGGTTTGATCCCCACTACTGGAAAAATATTATGTGATGAACGTTGTGTTCTTCCAGTGTCTGGGGGTTTTTATATTTATAATTTGTGTTTATTTACAAAATATCGATTATCATTATAATTGAATAACTTGGAATTATGGCTAAATTTATGTTGGTTGCCGTGACTTTGCAACCAACTTATCATGTCGCTTTTTGGCTGTCGATGTGCGTGCGCATCGTAAAAATTTTACTCTCATTATTTTTTTCCAAATGCGACAGACACATGGGTATTGGTACCCCAGTGGTTGGGCAGCTTTACTCACGTACAACAATAAAAACGAAAGCGAAACGCGGTATAAAAAGCTTACACAATCGCGCATCCGCTGTAGTTCATACAATCCGCCACAATATTTGGTATCGTGCCATTGAAAATTGCTACTTTCTGCCACAATCATAAGTGATGTTATGGACGTTCTGTTATCTCTGTCAATAATGTCTCTACCCTCAACTGGAAAATGAACTTTAGCTCCGCGGAGGAGAGTTGATTTTAGCACTGTGCAAGCGCGCACCAAATCATTATTATGCGCGGTGCATACCAAGTCCATATATTTTACGTACCGCTTCCAAACGTTTATTGTAATTAGTGTTATGTCAGTGAATGCAATGTTACATTCTAATTAAGTAATCACTATTAGTGGGTTAATTAGCCACATTATTGATAGTTAGTAAAATTAATGCCACATCTTATGTACGAGATGAACTATATAGCGTGTCTTTACAATCGCGACAATAAATGAACACACATATAGAGGATAACTTTTTAAAATTGTATTAAAGATTTACATTCTTAAAACGTTAAAAACATTAAAATATTTACCGAGTTATTAAATCCAAATTCCAAAACAAAGAATTTTAGAACAACCTTACGTATAAAACTGTAACGTAAAGTTCATTTGTAAAGGTCACAAAGCATATGAATGGGTTGAATGAATTTAACGAGACAAAACATACTGTTAGAAGGAGAGGCTTGTAATGCGACGCTGTGGCAACGAATGAAAAAGTCTCTGAATGTATGAATCAGTCAGTTGTAGTTGTATAGGATGTTACAAATTTGGTTTCTTTTTTACTTAATTAGATTGTTTGAAAAATATTTTTTTTAATTATGGATTTTGTTTAACGTTAATATTTTTTTATGATTATTGGCAATTAGCGTTAAACGTGTGTTCATTTATTGTCGCGATGGTAACGACACGCTGTATGAGATGAATTTAATTCGTACTACTAGGCTACTCTTTTAGACGTAGGCAACCTTTGCGCGATAAGATTTCGATCTTGTCGTGAGTTACGTTCAAGTTTAAATTGCAACTTAACTGCCTGTTTCATTTACCGCATTGAGCTGTTTAGGGAATTCGACTAGGAAGTTTTTATATTATTTTCTGACATGCGATAGACGTAGTTTTTATCACTTAAAGTCTCTTTTGTGAGCTGAAGTCTAGTGGGTTTATAAGATTTTATTCATTTACAGGTAGTATAATAAAGTTAAATGAAATAAAAAAACAAATAGTTTGAGAATTTATTTATGCTATATCAATATAACTTAACGACAAATATCAGGAGGGTTTAGAGCCTGAAATGGCAAGGGTATAAATATCTCATGTACAGTATAGTTATTCGTTAAGTTTTGTTTTCTACAACTTTTACTGCGTTTATTGTAAATTTAAGACTTAAATGTAAAGCCATAAAACCCCGATCGGCCAAATCGTTCGACAGATACACAACCACAACACACTTAGGATTTTAAATGTGAGATAGATATTGACTGGCGGTTCACCTGATGTTAATTGACAACTGCCGCTCATCGACAACTGCAGCGTCCGTAGGGTTGCAGATGCGTGAACCCCTTTCAATAAAGTATGCCCCAGCTACCTCACTCACCGGATGAAACGCAGAAGTATAACACTTCCACTCCGCGCCGGTCTTCTGCGTGTTCGTGGTAGTTACCCGGTCGAGCCTACCCATCCGTGCAGCAGGGAGCGAGCTATGTAAGATTAATGACGCATCTCATTGGTATTTTGAATCGGCAACTCGCTCGTTCCAGACACGTCCCGAAGGCGAAGCACACGACGATGGCGGAGACACCGGAACTGAAGCGGATAGCGGAGAACACGAAAATACAGAGCAACGTCAAGTACCACGCCGACTTCGAGAGGAGCAAGGGCAAGTTCACACAGGTGCGCGCTTCTAGACAGACCTAACAGGAAGCTTCTAGACTATTCTTAACAGAAAGCTTCTTTACTATTCTTAACAGAAAGCTTCTTGACTATTCTTAACAGGAAGCTTCTTGAATATTCTTAACAGGAAGCTCCTAGACTATTCTTCTGGTAAACGATTTTGACTAACCGCCACCAGTGACTTCCTCAAACTTAGATAGACTCCACTGCGTTACCGGCTGCGACAATTTAAGAACTTTTTAAATAACGGAAAAAGGCTGTTGTCATGATACGGCTGGCGGTTATTCTACCAACATTAAATATGAAATACTTAATAGCAATAGTAGAAGTGATAAGTCGGTATGTATATGTAATTAGATTAAATTAATTTAAACTGGAACGTATTATTTTTAGCTTTTTTTATGCGAAAAGTTGTCAAACGAGCAGACGGGTCACCTGATGTTAAGTGAAAACCGCCGCTCATGGACATCTGCCACACCCGAGGGTTACAGATGCGTTAACAACCTTTTGAAAATTGGGCTCCGGCTACTTCGCTCACCAGAAGAAACGCGAAAGTATTTGTCATACTTCCACTTTACGCTGGTCTTCTGTGAGGTCGTGGTACTTACCCGGACGGGCCTGCCCGTTCGTGCAACAGCCGAAGCTGCTGCGTGACCCTACCACCACTTAGTATGGAATACTGGTTTCCTTCAAATATGACGATTAAATTCAACGCGTTTGTCCAGGTGGCCGACGATCCTGAAACCCTGAGGATCAAAGCGAACACGAAGATCATCAGCAACGTGGCGTACCACGGGGACCTCGCGAAGAAGGCCGCAATGGAGAAGCAGCGTCAGATAAACGAGAATGGAGAACTAGTCGGTAAGTATGTTTAAGAAGAAGAAGAAGAATTGCTTAGTCACGGTCTGAGCATTCGACGAGGGAGTGCGTGGACCCTGAAAGGTTGACAAACAACGATAGAGCATCTTGCTATGATTAGTTTTCGACTTAAGGGATTTTCGCGAGAATATCGACCGGTTAGCTAAGTGGCTGCAGTTTGGGCATTTACTCTGGACGCCCAGGTTCGAACCCTAGAGGCGGTGAAACAATCTCGATGATTTATCCAAATATATATCATTTGTTGGATACCACGGACATTCCGAGTTTCATATTTAGAACTTTAGTCATAAATTACAAAATATAACTTGTTTTTTTTTTGTATATCTGAATATTAAATGGAATTTTTAACACCGCTGAATAACTTTTCAGTAAGGCAGTTTGAGGTAATAGGGAATGTGATATCCTTATCATCTTACAATAAAATGTCAGGTTAATAGTTATATTGGAAGAAAGTTTGTTATATGTTGGTCTTAGCAAAGATCTTTCCAATAGGCTTATTATATTTTGTGATCAATAGACTCTCTTGAATTATTTTATTTTGGTCAAAAAAGGTTAGTTTATTTTGTGCACAAATTTCTCATGATGTAAATATCTTTTTTACATTTGCACATAAATGTAACTGTTATAGGGAGACATTTGATGGTTACAATTAAATTATTTTTGTTTAATTTAGCTCTTTCTTTTTCAATGTCTTAAATTGTCCCTGTTTCAAACACTGATCACATTTCAAACTAATATAATTTTCTGTGGATTTATTGAATTTACACGTAGATAATTAACAACAAAGGTAATTTTACTTCTAAATAAATTTCATTCATTACCATTTTGATGTTGCACTACACGATCATTTGTCCATTAAGCACTGTGGCGGGTGTTACATGTTTGTCTGTTTGTTTGTTTGTTTATTTAAATATTTCTCTGGCGTGCGGAACCGGTGTAATTTTACGGTATCATTAGCGTGTATTAAAACACATTATATAATCCGCTTATGTAGTTTTTTATGACAATTTATATAAGACTATCCACTCCATGTCGTAATATAACATAAATATTTTTCATGAAAAAAATTGAAAATTTCACATGTTCCGCTCGAAATTCAATGTACATGGTAAAGAGGGCGCAAAACGCAATCGGCAGACAGTTCGCGAACGTACCGTTATATGTATATATATAATAATAACGTTATAATTAAAACAATGTTATCAACGAAATTAATAAAAGCTAACTTTAGAGCTTTTGCATAACGACAGTTAAAGACACACATTCGTTTTAGCTTCTAAATTGCACATTGATATATAAAATTGATTTACGCATTTAATCGCGTTCAATTCTGCCCTCGGACAAAACAAATCACCATACTAAACAAAATACACCTTCGCGAACTGTCCGCGCCCAAACAAACGTCGCTTACGTCACTAAAATCCCCGCCGCCCGCTCAGACGTCGCCACCAACGACAACTACCACCAGCAAATCGACAACTACACCACCGATCCGGTACCGAACCCGGTGCCCCACCTGCCGCCGAAGAACCACTACCAGACGCCCGCGCCGACACCCCAGCCCCAGGCCCAGCAGCCGGCGCCGACGCGGCCGTACCAGGAGTACAGGCAGTACGACGACCCGTACCAGTACGCGAAGTACGACGAGTACCAGAGCCAGTACGCGTACCAGAACAACTACGGCGCTAACAGCCAGCCCAAGATCGGCCGGATCCAGGACTACGACCCCCTAAGCGATGGGCCAAGGGCGCCCCCGAATGTGCAGCACGCGTCCGCCACCCTCATATACAATAGCACGAGAGACGCCAAGCAGAGAGGTCTGTATTCATAAAACGGTTGCTCCCGTTTAGACAATGACAACTACAGATTAAACCCTTACATCCAACTGTTATTTTTTATGTCAGAAATTGGCATACTAGTTGGTTGATCTGATGTTAAGTGATAACCGCCGCACGGACATTTGCAAAATCCGTTTGGTTGCAGATGCGTTGCAAACTTTTAATGAAGTGTGCCCCCGACTACTTTACTCGACGGACGATACGCAGAAGTGTAACACTTTACGCCGGTCTTTATTTTTTTTATTTGCATCTGGCCAGCACTTGACTGCCATCCCACCTGATGGTAAGTGGCGATGCAGCCGTTGATGGTAAGCGCGCTAGCTCAGTAAAAACCTATTCACTCTTGCCTTGAAGACGCCTACGTTGTCTTCCGTGAGGTCGTGGTACTTACCCGGACGAACTTGCGCATTTGTGCAACAGCGAACACTGTTACGTGGTCCTACCACAGATGTGTACAAATGAGAATTTTGTAACAATTTAAAACAAAAACATTTCCCTTACTGTGGGATAACGTTATGTTTTAAGGACGTTCTACGTGCGTAAATATCACATGGACAAACACCCAGATCTGTGTGTCACACAATTAGTTGTACTGTGTGGGAATCGAACCCACGACCCTCGGCTCCGAAGCCAATACCTTGGCAACTGCGCCACGGAATCATCAGTGTGAATGTGTCAGCCCGAATTGGCCTTACAAGGTCAATTATATGTCAGTTGTCAGGTCATTCGGTACTTCGGTACAATTTTAGTTGAAGGTGGTTTACCGTTCATTTGACTTGTAGCTATTGAAACGCAAGTTTTCAATGAATAGTTATCGGTTTCATCGTTTGAAGTTCAAAATTAAAATTCATACATATGAATGCCAATGAATTAAAATCGCTTGTTTTAACGTTACTGATAGTCTACGCTTGAAAACTTTACCGAAATATTACGTTTACGCATTAAATAACGTTCAGGATTAAACATAAATTACAATTTTTTATTTTTATATGCTAATTTAACATATGAAATTGATGAAAAATGTTCATTTAAAATACTAAACCTTCACTCCCTTAGCCAAGAAAGTGTAATAAAAATTACTAAATTCTTTCTTTACGTAATATTAAAATTTATTTATTTACACTAATAATATTTAATTGACTTAATTACACAGGATCCCACGTGGCCACGGGTAAAAAAAAAAGATGTTAATTGCGAGTGACTTATTGTGTGTTAGCTTTAAACATGTGTGTTATCATGCTTATACTGCGAGGTGAAGGTCATAGCAGTTGGGCGCATTGTTTGTGTTGCACATTCCATGTTATCATTCTATGTTGGCACAACATGTCTGTCTGGCATAAAACGTGACTAATACGCAAAGTTATATCTATTTCACAGATTAATACCTAAGGGATTGCATATAGTACTTATTTCTAAAAGAAATCAACGTCTTTCTGATTTATTCACTTGCGGGGGTACAACTACCTGTCTATAAAAAAAAAATCTTGTCCCATTTGATTTTACGTGAGGTGGCAAACGAGCTGGCAGTTCACCTGATGTCAGGTGATAAACCGCCGCCCATTGACATTTGCAACACCTGTAGGGTTGCAGATGGGTTGCCACCATTTAATAGTGGGCCGCGGCTACCTCACTAGACAAACGCGGAAGTGTAACACTTCCACTTCACGCAGGTCTTTGGCGAGGTCGTGGTACTTACCCGGACCATGCGTAGGCTTACCACCATCCCGTGCGCAACCTCGTCCATTAGATGATGCCTCATCATCAAACCCCCCCCCCCCCCCCTCAGGTGCGAACCAGGTCCAGCAGCAGAGCAGGCAGATCGGCCGCGTCACCGACCTGGACCCCCTCGCGGCCGAACAGCCCCGGCAAAGCAACAACCACCACCAAACCAATCAGGTACCACACCACAGTGACAGGAGACACCACAGTGTCAAATGCCCCGTTCCTATATCCAACGAACGGCCGTTAGTTACATGGCTTCGTAACTTTCGTAACGACTTGTAGATAAAAAATAAAAGATAAAAGGTGTGTACACACGGTTCCTATATTAACAAACCGAGGCGTTTTCCTTACGGGCCGTTGGATTACCTACGGAAAGTGAGTTACTAGCGTTCCTTTAATCTACAAGTCGTTATGAAAGTTATGAAGCTATGTAAATAATGGCCGTTCGTTGAATATAGGCACCGGGCAATAGACAAGCAACCATACGAAGTCATAGACGGAAAACAACGCAATTTCTTCTTGTTTCCCTTGATACTGGTTGCTGCTCTCTTTAACGTCGTAATTTTATTAATTAATTTGAAATCTTAGTTGAATATTTAACTGTACTTTGAAAATGTCATTGTCTCACGAATTGCTCGTGTGCGTTGAAATTAAAGAAAAATAGAACGGAAGAAACATTTTACTAATTAACACCTAAGTGCAACGCATAACTTTATATTTACTCGTTTATTAAGTTATTTTATATTTTTATTTATGAATTAAAATCACATCCGTCCCTTTGTTTTCTTTCAGCGGGTGTACATCGCCATGTACGACTACGAAGCGAACGACAGTGACGAAGTAAGTGGCCCCAATAATAACAGGGATGAAAAGTTTCATCTAACTTAGGTTATTAATATTACATATGGTAAAATTTTAGCAGGCTGCTACTTCAATATAACAAACAAAAAAAATTTGAACGACAGAGAAAAATCATAACGAATTAATAGAATATTAGAAATATTAAAAATTATTATCGAATTATTAATTAATTTGACTTTTCCATAGGCTTCGCCGGGACACTCGCTATGTCGCCCCTAAGTGTCGCGTCACCCATTTGACCTTCTTTTTTTTTCGCTTTATTGAAGTACTAGGCTTCTAACATTTTACCTGATATTCGTATTAATTTACATACAAAGGTCTTAATATACTCGATTAATTTCCGGTAAGCCAATGAAAAAAAATTAAGGTTCACATCATGAATACAAACATGGACGTTTAAAAATAAAGATACAGGTAAAGCAGAAGCTTGTTAAAAAAGGCTACAACCGTCCCCTACCATTTGCAGGTGTCGTTCCGCGAGGGCGACTACATCTCGAACGTGACGTCGATCGACGAGGGCTGGATGACGGGCGAGGTGCTGCGCACCGGCCGCACCGGGATGCTCCCCGCCAACTACGTGGAGCTGGCGCCGGCGCCCCCTCACCACTACGCCAACTGAGCGGCAACGCCCCCTCACCACTACGCCAACTGAGCGGCAACGCCCCTCCACCACTACGCTAACGGAGCGGCAACGCCCCCTCATCACGCCGAACGTACCCGACTCCCCCACGACAAAACAGCAATACGCCCCTTGATATATTTAGCCGACGAGTCATGCCCCATCTTTATGTTATATATCCATGAAAACTTAATTGCACTCAATCACATATTAAAATAGGATAGTCATTTCTATTACCTGAACAGTCATGCTGATGTTGGTTTTTCAACGTGATATAGCAGAGGTTTTATGGCAATAGTATTGTTCCTTTACTCTCACTTATAATTTATCAGAATATCCGCAGAAATTGACCTTACTGAACGAAATTATATTTGTTAGTTGACAAAAATAATCGTAATAATTTCTTGTACTTACACGATTATATATTACTAAATGAAACTATGTTAATGATGTTATCAAGTTTATTTTTATTTTTATTGGGAAATGAAAGTAAAAATAAACTTGATAAACATTGAATGTTGAGAAGTTTCAACCCCTTTTCAGTGGTTATAGTCATGGGATAGACACCCGTGACCATGAAACACTGAAAAAGGAAAGAAAAAAGATAAATCCGTAATTAAGTTTCATATAAAAATAATCGTGTTACAATTCGGATTGATCTTCACCTTTTTGTTGATAATTAGTAATGAAAATATCCTGTAGTATTAACAATATTTTCCTAATCTAGGGAAATAAAAACAATTATTGTGGGCAACATATCAACTTATGCTGCCTTCAACCTGCCCTCTGTATTTGAGATGTAAAAAGTATATTGGAAGATGGTCAATTTAAAGTAGTATTCCTTTTTTATATACCATATATAAAAGGGAAATAGTATTTTCATTTTCACAATATTTGTAATATAGCCATTCTTAAATTAAGGGTCAGTAAAAAGTAAAATAAACTAAAACCTCTATAAGACCTATAAACTTTAATATCAATTAATAAAATATTTTATTGAGGCAATTGATAAAGACTTAGATGTGATTTGACTGTTGAAACTATTCCGTTCATACTCACAAAGAGGGTTTGTAGAGTTCATAAGTAGTGTTTATGTCCTTGTAAAATCATTATATTTATAGATACATTTGTTAACATTTTATACTGGTGCATAGTTTAATATGACGCATTATATACTAAACTTTGTGATATGTTAACGTTAATATATTTTTTCTGCAAGAATTTGTTCATTTCCTTGTTGATAGATCAACTTGCCAATAAAATAAAATTGACCGAGTCAATATTTGCTTAGGCCAAGACATGGTAATACACAGAAAATGTGGACGTTTCCATTATCTAGATGAACAATTAAATTAATCAACAATTAAAAAACAAATAAACTGATTCAAGTTAAAATTTTGAAAATGAAAATAAGGCAAGAAAATTCAATGTTGGTCAAATGTCAATTTTTACCAACAAAATCAAAAAGGAATGAAAGAATGCAGACGGTCGAACACATTAGCGACTTATTTATGTAAGAAAAATGCGACAATAATAATTGTCTTCATGATAACATAATGTTTATATTTTATACGATATCGTAAAGATATGTATTTTTTATATAAATTATACATTTTAGAAGTATATCTACATATTATATTTACTCATTAACTTTTTTATGTAGGGGAATATTTTCCATTATTAGGACCAATACTTGTTAATCTTGCATTTTAATTCATTCCAATGCAATTTTTATACTCAAACTTCTTTCATTGTTCTTTGCTGAACAAACTGTGAAGTTTCTAAGATGTTTTTAATTAAAGTATATTTTGATAGAAGCTCCATTTTAGTCAGTTATTTTAGATCACATTTGTTTACATATTTTGTAAAATGGGCGACAGCTCTCGTTTATTATATATGTGTATATTATAAAATGTCAGACTATCATTGAATCTTGAAAATGTGTCATGAAGTACTTTTGTTATTACTACAAAACCCGCGGTTCAACTAATTAAGTTCCTTAATTGGTTATTTTTATTATACATTTGCTTCACAAAGTTACTCTTTTATTTAAGTTTCATTAACTTGTTTGTCTTTATCATAGTATTCATATTTATACTGTTTTAATTAACTTGAGGGATGGCTCCCCCCTTATTCACCACAAAATTCTTGCTTTGTAAATAATTTAGTGTATTTTTTGGTTATAGACCATTTTTATAGTTGTAAAGTATAATTTTATCTATCCTATTGTGTAAAATCTTGTGTCAATATCAAATTTGAAATGCATAATAAATGAATCGATTAGCCAGCTATCATGTCAAGATAAAAGTTTGCCAAAACGACACACATTTTAGCGTTTTCATATATTCAATGATTAGTTGCTAATAAACACACATTATTATGAAAAAAAAACATGAAAAAAATGCTTACTTTAACAATTATTGAAGCAAGTGTTAAACCACAGTTAGGTTAGGAATATCTTATTTATTCTTTATCTGTTGCAGAATACATCAATATTGTTTGTATATAGTAACAGATCTTGTTTTTATTTTAAAAATGTAGTGTTCATCACAAAGGGACGGCGAGTTTTAAGCTAGAGCAGACATACAAACATACATAATTAAAAGATATTAAAAGAAATAAAACTGAACATAAAAGTCCTTACATCCGCAAGTTTAATTTATATTTTCCTATAATATACCCACTGCAGGCAGTGAATTACGCTACTTAATCAATGCGTGTCTGCTTTAGCCTTTAACTGGTACCAAAGGCAATGAGATCTTTAAATATTGGAGCAGTATTACACGACCGATGTTACAGTGCCTTTGTAATAATATATAATAAAATTAAGATGGATACTCAAAGTTTTATTACGTGAAATAACATACAATTACCTCATATTCAGTTTTATAGTTGCTACTAAAAGATGATTTTAAAAGGATAATACTATATTCCTTGTCTTACTTTTTCCTCTACAGGAAATTGTTTGTTGTGAGAGTCGCCAAGCGTGTCTACTGTTTGTAGTACAAGGGCATGATTAGGCATATTTTTGTTTTCAAAAAAGTCAAAAATAAATTTACTTCTAGACAATTCATTTGAAGATTTATACGAGTCGACACCATAGCTTGTGACATACTATGGAAAACAAAATGTATTTTAAAGAAACAAAATCACTCTGCCCAGTTAGGCTGGCGGTCGTGGGTTCCATTCCCACACGGGACAAATATTTTATGCGTGAATTGAAATAGAAGAAACAGGTGATAGAATGATCACAATGAGGAATAAAAAGCAAATATTTTATACATATTTATTAACTATAAAATAATTTATAATTTTATGTTGACATGCGACACTAAATATTTCACGCAACAACTATATCTACGATTAAATGAATACTAAATCTAACAAAATACATTTAATACTCCATAATGCAACTAGCGCTTGGTCTGCTTCCCGAACCAAGTAAGTTTTAAGGCACCAATTGTTCATAACCAACTGTCACTGGTGTCAGAGTCACCACACTGTTGCAGTCTATAATCTTTGAATGCTTTGTATAACACAAGTTTTAAAGTTATATTAAATTCTTAGATTAAAAAGGCACAACAATATCAGTAATCATAATTCCATAGGGTAACTACAACTAATGCTCAAGGCACCTAAAGACAACATGAAAAAAATATATGATTTTTCTTATTATTTGTTAGTAGTTAATTATGTAGAACTAAAACAACGAATGTAATAATAATAGTGGAAATATCTTTAGCTGCCTAAATAACAACTTTAACAACCTAAAAAATAAATGATTGCACAAATAATGTTACATAAATGAATACAAGTTATTCTGGTAAGCTAACTTTATCACCCCACATTTATAAATATCTCCTAGGGCCAAACAAAAATCTTAACAAATTCATTGTATTCTCTAATTGGTATATTAAAGTAAACACAAGAAAAAATAATAATCAACTAAATAAAAATAAAACTATGCTCCTTTTAACATCAGTTTTGCATTAATCTAATTTTATTGTTTTCTTACCCTAACATGAATACTACACAAGAAATTAAAAATATAAGTGAATAGTAATGTTGTTTAGTTAATGTAATAAAATAAAAATCTTGCGTATTTTCATTGCGATAATGACGGTGATATGTTAGTGTAGTGGTAATTAATCCATAACAAAACATGCAAAAACATTCTAAGGGTTGGGCTCTTTTATTTAGCATATTCCTCAATCTTCTTCATTTCTTTTATGACATTCACTTGTACTTCAATAAAAATCTTTTACATAACAACAACTTCAAGGATATTTATTGGTCCATTTTAACAACAGTTATTAGGCTTTAAAATCTATGTGTTAGCAATCTGGACAAAAAAGGTAACCACTGGAATGGTTTGAAACTACGCCTTCCAAGTTTACATGGCTGTTCCAAAAAAGTATTTTACCATATGTTGATTACTGAACTGGAGGAGTCGACCACAAGTTCTATTCCCCTAGTAAATTAATTATAGCTTTATAAACTTCATTTTCGAATTTAATACAAATCAAATGAAACACTAAAAAAAATATTTTTATATCAATACATACAGCTACAGCTACATACCAAAATATTTTCTTTTTTGCTGATATATTTTCTGCATTTGACTATAAAATAGTCAAAGCACATACTTAAACAACAAACATGAAATATTTGAGAGTTATTAAAACTTTGAAACAGTTATGGACTATAGCCATATATAAAATGTTTTGCCAGCTTACATACAAATCTTAGAATCAGCTTTAAAATATTAAATGTCTTAGAATCATATACACCTCCCTAATTCTTCCGAGCTTTATTGTTATTCATTAAACACACTTAGATTAGTTGGAGGTGGTGCTTAACAGCAGTGTGTTGTCCTCCAGCCACTCCAAACGGTAGGTGGAGTTGTCGGGCATGTGGCGCACCAATTCGTCTGTGAGACGCACCCTCGCTCCATTGGGACCCAACACCAGTACTGTATCATAATCCTGAAAAACAAATTTTGATAATTTAGAAATTGACCATAACTTTGTTTATGTTACTGTGGTGACACCTAAAGATAAATTATTCAGTTGAAATTCTAGAACCAATTTACAGTTTATGTATGGTGTCTAAGATGTAACAGATAGAACATATTGCTGGAACTCTCTGAATGTGGTTAATGTGGCAGTTTATTTCTTTGTTGGAGGTGGTTATATTAGCCGGTCAGTGAAAGTGCCTTAGCTTGCAAATGCTGACTTGCTAAGCTGACTTGTTGTGGTGTATCGTGTTGGAGGCGCTGTGCATACCTTATTGGCGGCGGAGTGCAGCAAAGCGCGCAGTTTCTGCAGTAATTCTTGGGCGCGGCACGCGTGCAGATACAAGGCGCTGTACACACTGCTGCCAGCTGGGCACACGTAGACAGTCAAACGTGGCTCGATGCGTCTGAAGCAATAAATCGGTAGTGATTAGTATATGAATATTGAAGATTTGTGTGGAAAGGGTTGGTAAGTCCCAACGACAACTGCAACCCAGAAGATCTATTATATAGTTTTTCAAGGTAGTAGATAGCCTCTCCAAAACCAACAACCCTAACAAAGTTGACGCTCAATGAAGAGGGGAGTCAGGGCTTCCTTGTCTGCCAACTTGGCGAATTCCAGTACCCAACTCCTAATATTGACCAGGGTGGTACTATATACTCACAAAAGGATTTAGAGTAAATTATTATACTCATATTAAGCTCTCGTAACTTTCACTCAAGGTGACACAAAAGGGTAGTTAATTAAAGGAAACTTTCACCAGTAAATTTAAAAATATTATTATATAGAAGTTAAATACATCTAATTCCGCCAATAACAAAATATAAAAGTAATTATAATATATAAATTTAATATTGATAATTTTTTACATAAAATACATACTTTAATGTAAAAATTTAATAATTTGGTATATAACTTACACAATCTAATATATGACTTACTTGGCATGGAGTGCATTAAAAAGACGTATTCCATCAGCCAAGCCACAGATCTGTATAATGTCATCACGAGACAATCTAAAAACAAAATTTAATTCATTATTAATAAACAAATCACAGATTCTTAATTATTTCTATTTTTTTATAATTACACACAACATTATATTACAATAATATTTCCATTACCAGTTAAAAGACAATTCAAAAACCAATACAATGGTTACTGCTATTTAAAATACATACTGCATGGCAGCCATTTTTGACATTTTAACATAGTCAATTTTTTTTAATAATCTTCTTACATTTAGGAGTTTTGTATTAGTATTATTTGCTTTACATGCGTTTACGATCTGGTGTGAGAGTTGCAAGTGAAGTTCACTATACCTTAGCAAGTCTGCGCCTGAGAAATTTGCGAAGGTCGCGGCGTGTTGAATGAAGCGATGCCGCGATAGCCAAGATTGGGTTTCTGAGGACGTCGCTTCCTTTGACAGCCCGCAGTTCTGGAAAGAATGGAATAAATAAAACATTGAATTAAATACTAATCACTTGTTTTTTTTTTAAACTTTGCCCTCACTTTAGGATAACATTATCTTGTGTTGTAAGAACGTTTTACAAACATAAATTGCATGGGCACAATCCAGATGCGAAACAGCTATCTGTGGGTAGCACAAATAGTTGTCTTGTGTGGGAATCGAACCCACGACCCCCGACGCCGAAGCCAATACCTTGGCATCTGCACCACGGAGTCATCAGACATACCTCACTACATAGTATAAAACAAAGTTGTCCCACTGTCTCTCTGTACCTATGTATGCTTACATCTTCTCAAACCACGCAACGGATCTTGATGCTATTTTCTTTACTAGATAGAGTGATTCAAGAGGAAGGTTTCTATGTATACATTGCACCCATGCGAAGTCGGGGCGGTTCGCTAGCCCATAATAAAAAAGACCATTATGAATAATTAAATAAAAGAATAATTAAGTACAGAACAATGACAACATGATTAATTATTACTCTTTGACAATTTTGGACACCAACACATCTTGGGTCTTGGGACATTTGGGGCACACTTGATGGTCAGACTGCGAACACAATTCTATATCCCAACCTTTCCAACATCACAATAGCAGGAGCTCAAATTAATGACAAATGTAAACATGTGCATACTTTGTCGGGGTCCTCAGCAGCTTGCGGCAAGTCAGGCAAGATAGCGTCAGGCGAGTGGCACGATGGGGTGCTCACTTTTACGTCGCCACCACTACAGAATCATACAATAGATAAGTAAAAATTCTCCCCAGCTTATTAAATATAACAGAAAGAAAAATTCTGTAGTAGGACCATATTAGTTATATTTAGCCAATTGTATCTGGCGCTCAACAAAGTAATTAAGTTCTAAAAGTAGTGAGACAATAACAATATTAGGTCAAAGAGTTTTCATTACAAAATGTAAATATATTTTATTTATAGTTAAGACATCTTTTAATGATGACTTCATTGATAACTGAAAATGATTAATTGATAACTTAAAAAATTAGATATAATATTGGTGTTGTTTTTAATAAAGTACTAAACAGACATTGGCTGTGCACATAACCAAATACTGCAATATTCACTATCTGACATAAGGTATGAAACTAAAATCGCATTTGAGTAATCTGAAAAAGGGGAAAATCATTTCTGCACACCTCTGAGATAAGAGTCCACAATATTTAATATATATGCATCTATCAGCAGGCCATATACATCAACGGTGTACAAATCTTGATAAACAAATTAAGAGGAAGGCAATAACTAAAATAATCATTGGCAACTTTCTTTTACAGCTTACATGAAAGCTGCCAATAGCTATTTTTGCCTTCCTCTATAACAGAGCACTTTGTGAACGATGTTTTAAAGATAAAATGGAATGCTGTATTATACACAATTATTTCTCTAAATCCAGACAAAAACCTTCTCAGTAAGTCAGGTTTGATTTTCTTTTATAAATATTATAATAAAAACGAATTTTAGCATGCTCAGCAACTGAAGTTTTACATTGCAATGTAGTTTGCGCAACCTGGTAGTAGTTTTTTTCCAAAATATTTATTTATTTATTTAATCTTTATTGCCAACCTTCAGTAAAACAAGGTAACAAAGGGCGGACTTAATGCCCAAAGGCATTCTCTACCAGTCAACCCAGGATGTGGTGAGAGTTTATGGTAGGTGCAGCAAAAGATGCAAGAATAATAAAATTTTAATTAAAGAGAATATATATGAAAATAATATTATAATTGGATACAAATCATATATTAAGTTATATACATGCATATGTATGTATACATATATATATATATATGTATATATATATTCAAATATTTAAATATATATAAAGATGTATACTTGTATAAATAAATAACAATTAGCTTCTACTTTTAACTACAGTCCATATCTTAGGTCGAATTTGTCTTTAACAGGTGTTCACGAACCAATATTTTGAAAGATGTCTTACTTTTTGCGTTTCTTACGTTATCGGGCAAGGAGTTCCAAAGATGTATGGCTTTAAATATTTTAGACAATAGTAAAAATATTGAAAGTAGTACTTACTCTTGACAATAAAGAGGTTTCATTTGGTTGGACGAGGCAAGTATAGCTGAAAAGAAACACAAATTGGTATCAATATTTGAAATTGATATCACAACTAAATTGACTTGATATAATATGTATTAATAATATTTACACGAAAATTCAAACACAACTTTGTCTTGTAGAAAAATTAGGAATGTTTAGTTATAATTATTTCCTTTATTTTTAGTTTTACGTTTAAGTGTTGATCCAAGTATTAAAAAATCTCAATCTTTTCCAGTACATGGTGCTTCTTGAATTAAAAAAATAGAATAAGATAATCGTGCATTGATTAATGTATATTATAAGTTTATTATTATTATAAGTTAATTATTTTATGACATTTATGTTATTTCAAAAATTGGAAAATGCATAAGTTTAACAACATAAGAGATAATTTACTGGTACAAAAAATATAAAGCAAGAGTGTCAGTATCTGATGTAGTGTAGTTTCATAAAACAAAGCATTGTTTTAATCACGATACTGTAAAGACAATGCTTAAAAACTCACAGCGGAAGAGAAGATGAGAGTTCTTACCAGGTTGCGACAACACAGGCTTGTTCACCACCATAGGGCTCGTAACACTCTTGGGGGTTACACTGAAATAAATAAAAAAAAAAAACAACTTAGTGCATTTGTTCAAATCAAATATATTGTGCCCTTGTGATTCGAAATAAATCCTTTTACTGTATAATATTTAATAATCTAGATAATTCTCATAGTGGTATAGCTGCCTTATTTAAAGCATAAATTTGAACATAATTTTATAGCATAATTAAAGTTAAAGATTTTGTAGAATTTCTGGGAAAATTTCTTTTCAATATCCACAAAAATGAAAGAAATTCTATTTACCTTTCTAATAACTTAATGTTATTAATTACGGTATTACAAAAGGTGAAACTAAATAACTTTATTTTCAAATGCCTTTGTATTAAAAATTTTATTTACAAAATCAGCCTTAAAGTCAGTCTCTCTGCAGAGTTATTATTGCTCAACATTCTTGAAACTTTTGTGAACCAAAAGTGTCATGTGTAGTAATTTTCTGTATATGAAGTAGAAAAATTCGGTAAAATCCGGATATTTACGCAAGCCGTGTAAAGCGCGCTGGCCTGACGTGTACGTTGGCGGCTTTCATCCGCCTCGCGAGCTCCCGGTACGTTTCAGGGTCCGCTTCGATCTCAACCTCGGCTTTTAACAACGAAAACTTCATGCGCCAGCCTCGCGCTTTTACTCCGTGCACTAGCCGAGCTCTGAGAATTACCCCGCGCCCCAAATGTCGCGCACTCAGTCTCTGCTCGAGAACGAGCATCATGCTCGTCAGCTATAGTCTTGTCTCGTCAAATTGAAGAAGATGAAGGCCCCGGAACCGACACGGTACGCCAAACCACCGGCAACCACCATAGCTGGTCCACGGGCCGCCGCAACAACCATTTGTTACGATAATGAAAGGTCCCACACAACACTCGCTTTTCAAAAGTAATGCCTGGTCTGTTTTGTTCACTTGTCTAACATTATTTCCAAACAAAGTGCAGCACGAGACTGGTAGAGTAACGTTATAAGATTTCGGCTTTCAATAGTGCACGAGCTAAAAGTGAACAAATAAAAAAGCTGCAAGATGTCACCGGTTTTAAAGCGGTATTCGAATTCACAGATACAATTGCAGCGAAAAAATCAAGAAAAACAGAAACGAAACGTAACTAAACACACGACGGAAAGTGAGCGACTGGGCTGAATGGCCGCTGATTGGTTGAGTGAGGCGCGTTTGTCGATTGGATTCAAACCGGTTAGATTCGGTTCACAGTGGCCGTACCCGGCTTGCGTTAATGCATCGGGCAACGTCATGCCAACTAGAGGGGTACGGCTTGTTCAAAATTGACACGATAGTAATGCTATTTATTTATAATTACATGCAAAAAATTATTAGAATGTTATTATAACCGTAGTGAATACGCTGTGTGTTATTATAGCAATAACCTTGAGGGGCATATGGGTTCCACGATAAACCGGATAAATTAATAGTTGTAAACGGACATTTCGATAGTTTCAAACTCGCATAATCTGGTTTTTACGGGCTCAACTAGTACCTTGTTAAGATACTCCTTTTGGATATTACATGCACCCATTGAAATACGTATAAATCAGCGAGAAAAATTATCATAATTTTAAATAATTTTTTATACCTAATTATGTAATGTATACTTAATAATAAAAATCACATGAGTGCTTTAAATTGCTAAGAAAAATTTGTTTTCAACAAGCATACCGTGACCATGAATATTGAAAAGGCTTCAAACGTCGCGAAATCGAAAACGTGAAAAAAGAAAATAAATGATACGTAATTAGTTTCATTCAGTAATATTTTATATAATATTTTTTTAATACTTCTCATTTGTCTCTCTCCTTAATTTCTCCACCTTACTTTCTCTATTTATTTGTCGGTTGACCGGTAAAGAATACTTAATGGTGTTAAGTCCGTCATTGTACGTTGTTGTGCAAGTAGTGTTTAAATAAAAAAAAATATATGTATAATCGCATAGATACAAGAATTACCAAGAATAGCATCAATAAATTTCTAGTATAACTATCGCAGAAGTAATATTGACGGTCAAAACTGTAATTACTTGTTTGTAAAATTAAAACGGGTATAGGCACCTAAGTAATACTTTCATTGCAGTTCTTTATTCGCTTTAAAACAAGAGTAGCTTCACTGTGAATAGTTTTAACAATGATGTTAATCGCACCGGCTACTCAAATACAGCCAAAACGAAAATAACAAATCCAAAATCCAATAGAAATGTTAATGAACTATTCAGAACAGTGCCATCGAAAGGGTAACAAAGCTACTACCTAAACGGTTACATTGCAGGGAAGTGGACAGATAAATACCACGGATTGTACATAGAGGTTCTATGTAGAATCAAAAAAATAGGGTAGGTACCAGGTAGTAAACCTACCTGACATAACATTGTAATTTCTAATCATATGTCTTAGTTTCTTTAATCATTTCCACGTAATAATCAAGGAAGTACTGATATCTGTACAAACACCAACGTAAGATTATGTTGGAGGCGATATCAGCAAAATATATATGCATTACTCTGTTAGTAATTTTTACAACGATTTATTAATGGTATTTTTTTTAAATAAAACTAGTTTACGGACTTTACCCTGTTTTTATTTTGTTTTGAAATTCCCGGCATTTCAAACCCTTTCCAGCGTTCATGGTCACGGGACTGACTAGTTTTTTTTTTAGTTTTTTTTATGCGAAAAGTGGCCAATCGAGCAGACGGTTCACCTGATGTTAAGTGCCTACCGCCACCCATGGACATCTGCTACACGCGAAGGTTGCTGATGAGTTGACATCCTTTTAAAAATTGGGCTCCGGCTACCTCACTCACCAGATGAAACGTGAGACTATTATTCTTCCACTTTAAGCCGGTCTTCTGTAAGGTCGTGGTACTTACCCGGACGAGCCTGCCCATTCGTGCAACAGCCGGGGCTGCTACGTGGTCCTACCACCGTAAATTTCATTCAATATGTATAATAATTATGTGGAGCTGGTGGTTCAACTAATGATTCCATCGTGGCGGTTATCACTTAACATCCAAACAGGGATATATTCACCACACTAGTAGTGCTGCATATGCTTTGTCATCTTTTAATAAACTGGGCCCCAGCTGCCTCACAGACCAGTCGATATGTGAAAGTATAGAAATTCCACTTCACGGTGGTACTTCCCCGGGCGGAACTGCACATTCGTGAAACAGAGAAAACTGTTAAGTGGCCCTACCGCAGTTAATTTTTCATTAAACTAGATTTATTCACATTATATCATACGTATATTATATCGCTTACATTAAATTCATTTTCTATAATAAAATAAAAGTTGTTAAATAGTTTCAGTAGAATTTGAAATCATTTTAAATTAAACGGGGATAGTAGGGGCTGCAATCTTTTGGTATTAGGTGATCAGATTATGTTAATAAAGCATACAGAACCAATTCGAACGAGTTCAGATCGTCGACGGAAATGGCACGGGGCATATTCAATGCGTCTAAATATAACGCAACGCAATTATGAAAACGAGGACGCGTTCGTGTTGCTTTCGTTCACAAACGATGGTGCGGCAGAGTTCTGGCAAGTTTTACGCTATTTATTAGCTGTGGTTGTAAATTCAGTTATTTTTTTTTAAATCTCTAACATTAAATGGGTTTCATAGCAATTTTGATAATTATAGCAGCAAAAATTTTATTGGTATGAAGTTTATCATACTTTCCTTTTATACCTGATGTAAAATGCAATTTGAAAGGTCTAATTTATAAATAGCCACCGTTTTGAAAAGTCAGGTAAACGCATATTATGCATTTAAATCCACTGAAAGTATCGACATAATATGCATTATTTGCATTTAAATCCACTGAAAGTATCGACATAATATGAAATGTCGATGATGACATAAAAAAATTCACATACAATTTTACATCACTGTAATAATATCGACTTACGGAGATAGAACAGATTCGAAGATTCGATTAAGCGATTATTCGATAAGAGATTTTTAGATACTTTAGTATCAACAATAGAGCGTCATAAAAGTGAAAAAAATAATAATAGGGTGACGCATTAAGTGCCCTGTCAATTTCTTAATAACGAGTACATAGATGCTATAAAACCTTCTTAAACACTAAGTGTATATTAATTCTGTGGTCATCGACCTTTCACTACTGCATAACCGATTACTTTACAATAGAGTGACGTATAAAAATCCCTTACAATGGCATCACATTGACCCTTTTCCAGCCGAAGCGAAGAGGTGCCTCTATCATTGTTGGCGGTGCAAGCTGCAATTGGCCATGTTCTGAACACATTAGCCGGTCGGTCTGGGGTCATAGAAAGGTCAGCGCGAGTTAAAGGAGAATTATTTTCATCACGAACCCTCCCTTTTGGCTATTTTGTGGCGGAGCGCACAATTGAGTTCGGACAACACGTTGATGACGCAAGGCTTTCTGATGTCATAGCTTTTTTAGTAAAAGTAATATAGCACGGACTTTGAGGGAATACTTATATTGATTTAATCACAAAGTATGGAAAGGAAGTTTCCTTTTTGATTTTGTTTTCCATTGAGTTCAATGCTGAGAGACCTATAGTGTGGATCCACCATTAAATATATTTAGTATCTGTACACGTTGTTGTGTATTTCTCATACGGTTTTATTTAATTGTTTTTATTCGTCTTGTTAGTTAGAATAATTATTTAGAGAATAAAATTGTGAAACATTGCTCTCGTGTTATAATATATATTAAGTTTGGTTTGAAGCAGCTATTGTAACCTTCGCACCGGACGACATCAGTTGTAAGCTAAAATACAACAATATTGCGAAATTACATATATGTCTCACTTTACTATAGCCCGCCTACGGCCTACGGTATTTGCGCAATGTATTTAGGCGTTTCTTTCGCTGTTTTTATACACTGAACATTTTGAATAAACAAAATGACAGTCTCAAATTAGGTAATTTTATGTATAAAGTGAAAATAACTAAGAGATTTATAAATGTTCAAAATTTCGATACTTTTAATTTTATACCTGTTTCGCAATAAACGGCGCGTTTGATAAATAGGAATATTGCACCCCTCATTTATCTCCACCTAGGGAACGGTAAATGGTTATCATTTAACAGATAAATAATGAATGTTTGAGGTCCCATCTTATTAAAAATCATATTTTTATCATAAAGACCCCAATGTCTGCGAGAGTCTTCCACTACAAGATTCATCATCATGAATTAGACTTTAATCTGTTATACAAATTATGTTTTCCATTAGCGAATGATGTCTTCTTATTCAATCTTAGGGGCTTATGTAAAGTTTACTGGTCGCGAACGCTAATGTTTTTACGCGCCTCCTGAAATCGGGATCAAAACGGAAACCTAGTTCCTTTTTTTTAATTTTATAAAACGAATAAATTTAGATGTTCCGATAAAACGTTTAAGAAATTTAATGAAATTAATCTGTTACGCAACAAGCACGTGCGCTGTTAAAGTTTGTATCGGTCGCAAATTCGAATGCCTCTGATATCGGCGTATTCGCCTATCTTGTCATATCGGCGAATTGATTATTTTGTGTGCAGCCGAGACGGGAAATGGTAAAATACAACATGGATAAGACAACTTATTTTTGTTGTAAACTTAAAATAGATTTGCAGGCTGGAGTTTGTTGTTATACCATTCCTTTCGTCGCTTGAGCATTTTATGTATGTTTTTAATGTTTCGACAATCCGTTTTTGAATGCAACATTGCGTCTATAATTGTGTGTTAAATATTGAGACTGAATGTACATTTGTATTCCCAAAAATCAAAACCGACTTGAAATATTTCAACCACTATCCATTATCTATTTAATTTGTTTTTTTTAATTTGGACCTCCAATTTTAATATGAGATACCCGATAATGTGTTTTGGCATTTTTATGGGTATTAATTATCATTAATAATAATCAGTACATCATTAATAATAATCAGCTCACTCAATGAAGAACATTGAAATGACGTGGCTTCTGCCGTAGAAACTAGTTTCGGTCTAACGGACATTAAAAAAAAGGGCTAATCGCCACACGAATTGAATGTAGACTGTGGTACATTACAATCATATTAACCTTCATTATGTGTGATGCGTATGAAAAACAAAGATTTCTTGGTATCAGTATCGGGTTATTAACTAAAGTTGCTAAATACACGTGCAGTGCAGTTTAAAACGAACGTAAGCAAGCGTCCGTACACTGACCTATCACAACAGTCTGTCTCCGGTTCTTTTAAATTTGCACAAGATTTATAGAGATGCAGACTTCTCAAGTGCATTTTTGCTAACAAGTTAATAGTGTTGTAAGTTTATATTTTATAAATGTTTTATTGTATAAATAGCTTTAGAATAATTTTCCACTTCGGAGTGGATTCTAGAATCCATAGATTATCTCGGCATCGTCATTGATACGTATAAGTAACATAGATACAAAATTAACTGTCTACTACACCTTCATCATGTTTTACAAGTAAAATATGGCGGGGAAAACGGGATATAATGTTAACGATTTGATATTCGCAACTCCGCTCAGTGTACCAAGTCTTTTTTAACAACAGTCTGCCGCTTTACCTTTTGTAATGCTCAATTTCTACCAGAGACGCTATGGCTGTATCGTCACGTTCTAAAATTAACGCGCACGATAAATTGCATCAATTGAATCGAAATCGTTTCGAGAAGGAGATCAAGGGGTAACTGAAGACGGGCGACGCACTGTCTGCGTCTCCGGTTTCGGGCGGTACTGAATACGACGGTTATCGGTACTGTTTGATGCTAGAATTGCGCACAAACTCTTTAACACGTGCTGGATAGATTGAATGTAGTATAGGTTTGCTGTATGTTGATGTTTATTCACGTTTAAGATAGTACTGGTTGAGTTTTGACGTATCAACCGCAATGCCACGGCTGTATTAAGGTGTAATTAAACAGGCGTCACATATCGAACAATCATGAGCCAAGTATGACGTCACAAAAGCATCAAGTTTAATCCTTACTCTGATGCCAATAGATAGCAATTGTTATTGCCATGGGTATTATCACACCGTATCGAACGATATGGATCAAGGACTCAAGTTGTTTGGACGTAAGCAATATGCTTGAACATAGATTGCTGGCCGTAGGTTTTTCTTTTGATTGCGGCTTATACAGCATTACACAATACAAATTCGTGTATAATTGTTATCCCTTGAGTCGTAGATTTCCATGGACGGCGGGCAAACAAACCGTGATGGCTCAGTCAGTTTTCGTGCGCTCGCTTTGAATCTACACGAGCAACTTGTTCAAATCTCGGTGCCGGCATCAATGAAATTGTTCATTGCCATTTTAAGTGCCAACTTAAAATTACCGCGTGCTTAACGGTGAAGGAGAACATCGTGAGGGAGAACCGGCATATTTTATTTTTAAAACTTCATTTATAAAAAATCTTTCAAAGATAAAAAAAAATTTCGCGGTGGGGGCGCGTGTTGCACTACATGTAGAGCACATACAAAGTCGCTAGGAAGTAGTCAGATTTTGTTTGTTCAATGTATTCTAAAGCATTTAATGCGCTTTTAACACGCTGTGCACAGTTTTAAGTTTATTTGTACAAAGTTGGATAATTGCTCAACAGATTAGCGCAAGCGGCCGCTCGACTCCACTAAAACCGGTAATGGCGGGAAGCCGCAGCGAAACCGGTTCAACGCGGCGCGGCCGCATCGCGTGCGATGCATCGACAGTGCAATCTGGCGCATCACTGGTTTGTTGCACTATGACCGTTCTGTCACTTTTAAAATAATTGCCGCCGAGTTTGGCGGCTGACGCATAACGTTACATTCAGCAAATACGTGTATTTTATAATAATTCTGTTCCAACTGTACTTCTAATTAATCTAATATTATTTACTTCAACTAATTTTAGACTTCTCTATTTTTTTCTCTTTAAGATATAAAATAAAACTATATAACACAAAAGAATATATGAATAAAATTTTGGGCAAAGCTCAGCGATTACTGAGAATTTCTCAGTGCTGATTTTCAGCTTAACCTTTAGCAAAGCTTTACATCATCATATACAGCGGTAGTTGGCATATTTTGTTCATCTAAATATCAATATCAATACTAAGACACAAAAGGAATCGGACACAAAAGAAGATATAGACATAAGATAATTATAGATATTTTCTGTGAACGTATCTTTTAGTTTTTTCAACACTATGAGATAATATTAAAATATAATAGAAAAGGCACGAGAGGAGACGACTTTATTTTGATTTCATTTCTCTAACTAAATCGTGAAGTGAAATAATTAATACTTTAACATCCTACTTACTACTATTTGTCCAGATCCTCTTATTAGTAGACACATCCTGTATCATGGTTAAGAATATTGCTTTGATAAAAAAACTGGATAACTATTTAATCATTTTCATACTAGCGGCGAACAGAGCTTGCCCTAATGCACCATGACAAATGTTAAATAAATAAAATCAGATAAATAGGGATAAAATTCATATAATATCACAAATGAAAAACGGAAACAATAAGGAAAAACATGAAAAATAGAATTATTAATTTTGTCAAAAAACATTGCCCATTTTCTGAGGAGTTTTTGGGTCCCTAATAAACAATCGTTATGTCAGTGATTTTAGTTTTATTTCGAACAAAGAAATTTTTTTACGTTCGCAAACTGCTTTCCTACCCTGAAGAAATTTTGTTCTTCGTGTTGCTGCACAATTATTGCAGCAACACGAAGAACAAAATTTCTTTAAATTCTAATTATCTAACTAGTTAGTTGCTGCAATAATGATTTAAAGCCTTTGAAATTAATGTATATCGGAGAAAGAAGAAAAAATACACTTGATGATGATGTGTGAAAAAGCATTTTTATTAGTATTTTAAGTTAAGTTTTTAACAACTTGACAAGAGAACAAGTTGCTAGGAATAATTAACTGATTTAATGTATACTTTTAAAGTTTACAATTTTTGGATTTATTATTTAAATATCATTTAATTTTAAGTAAAGTGATGTTTTAAAATAACCAAAGTAATCGGTTATTTTTCCTACGTCTTTTCGTTTCGTTCCTCCTGGTTTGATGGCGGCTGTGAAAACAAGTTGAAAATGAGTAATTCTTACGTTTGGATGAGTTATTTTTACTTACCAGATCTCCGGCGAATACGGTGGTGAAGCGGTGACCAGGGAAGGTGGCGGCAGTAGGGCGTCGTTGGAGAGCTGTTGGCGAAAGTGCTGGTTGCATTTCAATTTTATTCGTACACTCGTTGGCCAAATGTTGGCTGAATAATCACTCACTCTATTAAAAGGCGCCAAAACATCTGCAACCTTACGGGTGGCTGTCATCACTTAACATCAGGTAAACCACCAGCCGTTGGGCATATTATGTGTGTGTGTTTTGAGAGATATTTTCCTTGAACCCAGTTTCAACACAGCGTGTGTTGAAACTATATTTGTTGTTTATTCAAATGTGGACATTGAGCAAATATTGTCTTAAGATGACAGTTTACGTGTTGAGCTAATGTAACAACAGGTGTTATAAACGAAGTTTTGGGTATGAATAGGAGTGTTAAACGGCAAATATTGTCTCGTAAGGACAAACCATTGGGCGGAAATCACGCTAAGAATAGAACGTTTACTTTTTCTCAAATGTTTGTTTTATGCGTGATACGCTTTAGACGTGTAATGTTTGTCAAACATTTCATGTGAATTGGTCGAAATATCTTGAACGTGTTGTGTCGGTGAAATATCGGATTTGGCATAGGTACAACTTTGGTAGGGCCACGCGACAGTGTTCGCTGTTGCACGAATGGGCAAACCCGTCCGGGTGAGTACCACGATCTCGCAGAAGACCGGCGTAAAGTATAAGTGTTACACTTCTGCGTTTCGTCTGGTGAGTGAAGCAGACGGGGCCCGATTTATTATAACGTGGTAACGCATCAGCAACTCTGCAACTGGCGTTGCAAATGTTTGCCGCATCCTCACATAAAATGAGCATTTTTTTTTACAAATAACGAAAAACAAAACATTCATTTTATAATTGATTTCCAGGAGTTCCCTAAGTATCTGCGGAACCGAAGATCCAATAAAATCACCACATGGGAAGCGCCAGTTTTAGAATAAAAAAAGGAATCATCAAAATCTGTTCACTCGGTCAAAAGCTCTGAGGTAGCAAACATAAAAAAAACACAGTCGAATTGAGAACCTCCTCCTATCGAAGTCGGTTAAAATGCCAAATGGCACGCACCGTGGTGAGGACGGTGGCCTCGCACCCCGGCTGGTACTTGTCGATGTCGGAGCGTGGACGGCGCATCACCTTCTGGCGGTCTTGCTTGTGCTTGCGGTCAGCCCCCTTCAGCTTGAACACCTGGTGACGCAAAGCGAAAGTAAGGTAACAGCCTGTACAAGTCCCACTGCTGGGCAAAGGCCTCCGTGCAGAGGGTATTAGGGCATCGTCCAACACGCGATCCCACTGCGCATTGGCGGACTTCGCGTAATGTCTTCGAAATAGTTTTCTTTGTTTGTATTTCGAAAATAAAGTATCAGCATATACAAGTCCCACAGCTGGAAAAAGGCCTCTGTACAGAGTTTATTAGGGCATCGTCCACCGCGAGGATCACTAGGGATGTCGAAAGTGAAGAAATATCAATATATAGATATTTATAAAAATATCAATACCTGCCTGGATATATCGAATAGAAAATATCGATATATCGGATATGGGTCCTAGTAAAGTGAGATATCTTAAACATTAAACACCTACGGACTCTGCGCCGGATTCGAATTAGAAAGATTAACGTTTTGATACAATTTTCGATAATGAATGTGTTTCGGTTTTGTGGTCTTGTGGACAAAGGCCTCGTTCAGAGACTTGTATTGAGCGAGAAGAACAAACGAACATTCCCGTTCGTTACACGTCATTCGCCCTATTCATCGGTTGAAGTTGTTTGTGGTGGTCCCAGTAATAAAGCAGTGCAGATTCGGCCCGCTGTGCAAAGAACGAAGGCGACTCGTCAACGACGGTTGAAGGTGAGTGCTCTTTGTTCCACTAGACTATTCGAGACCCAGACCAGCTCCGCTGTCTATCGAAAGTCACCGAAACATAACGTTTTGTATCGACATATCGATATGTCGGATCGTAAAGTATCGATAGATAGAATCAAAAATACCGAAACATAGGTGTATCGATATTTCCTCGACATCCCCAAGGGTCACCTTGATCTGGCAGGCGGCGGCGTGCAGCCGCGTGTGGTCGTCGCTGGCCATGTACGTCTCGACCTGGATGCGGAACGGCACGCCCTTCTCGCCGCCGTGCTTCTTCGCCGTGAACTCCGTCGAGATGCAGTTCACCTGGAGACAAACGCACGTATGTTCATACGCACAGTGTTGCACACACACACACGCACAGCGACTTCGTCATTGGAGACAGGTACACGCGCACACCTTTGCACGAGGACAGCGCGTCTGTACTTGCGCACACTTTTGCACACACACACGCACGCACAATGACTATCATTACACGCGCACACTTTTGCATGAGGACAATACGACTACGATATTAGAAACAGGCTTTGATGACTCCGCGGCGCAGTAGCCGAGGTGTTGGCTCCGGGGTCGTGGGTTCGATTACGCGTGGCAACTGTTTGTGTCACCCACAGAGAATTGTTCCGGTTCCGGGCGTTTGTCCACGTGAAATTTATGTATGTAAAACGTCAATGCAAAACAGGATTATGTTGAATTAATAGTCATGATTATTTCGAAAATAGATCGGATTATTTACTCCTATATTAAAGTAAAAATTTACTTTTTGTCCAATTTGACACGATTTTAGGGTCAACGGATAGCAGATTTACTTAAACCCATAGTTTATCATTTTCCTTGATTTGATTCGATCTGATAAAAATGCTATTGCTACTTGAGGTAAAGAATGGAATCCTTATGTTATCGACCTATAAGTAATCTAAAAACTAGCACAATCTATCGATGAAGGATCTCCGATGAGTCCGAAACTAGTCGGTACATACACCGGTTTTACGTGAGTTCAGCCGTCTTAATATTGCATTAATAATGTTTCACGAAAGTTTTAATAATTTTACAATCTATCGGTTAAATTTACCTTGATGTAGACTCCGACATCTTTAGTGGGGTCCCACAGCACGTGCAGAGCGTTGAGACTTGTCGGATGCTCGACTCTGATAACTCCATACGATAGAGGCACGTCCACCTTAATGAAGGAAAGTGTAACTTCATCATCAAGTAATACAGATATCGCAAAACTCTATTGCACCCGAGTGAATATTAATAGGTTGGCAACTAAGCCATTGCGGATTTCAATTATAGATGTTCTCACTCCCATTTAAGATTATCGTATCGTTACTTATCGTAGCTTTAGTACATATTTTTGTCAGGGTCGACTTTCAAAATTTGGTTAGAATAAATTTCATTGAAACATGACATATATTCTTCGGTACAAACAGGCCTACCGTATGCGCCCCAATTATCGTTGATTTTTGGAATAACCTGTTTATATAGACTGCTACTTTACTTTTATTTTACTTTCAGAGAGATGCCGAGTTTTCTAGGGATAACAGATTTATAACGCAAATGGATCTATCTAAGAATGCTCATTGTTTACAGACACAACGGTGACGTCACCACCAACCAAGAATTTTCATTTTAGTCACGTCGGTGACGTCACTACGAACCAAGAATCCTCATTTTTATATACACGTCACTGACGTCACTATGAACCAGGAATCCTCATGTTTAACGACAATTCGCCGAAGTCATTTCCATGCGAAAGCTACCATTGTTTTATCGGCACGTTGGTCACGTCAGCGCCAGAAGATTCCTCCCAGTTAATAAACGTGTTAGTGACGTCACAACGTGCGATGGGCACCATTCTTGATGACGCAATCACCTCGACGATCCTGTCGCCCGGGCGCTCCGCGTGCCACTGCGCTATCTGTTCCCTCTCCATGTACTGCAGCCGCCGCTCGTGGAAGCAGATCTTGATCACGCTCTGCAAAAAAAAAAGAGACTCAAGCGAAAACATCAAATCGCTATTTAGCACCTAGATATGGTATTTTTGTGTAAGAAGATGGTAATTGAACTGGCAGATTACCTGATGCTAAGTGATAACCGCCCATGGACATCTGCCACACCCGAGGGTTGCAGATGCGTTGACAACCTTTTGAAAATTGGGCTCCGGCCACCTCACTCACCAAACGAAACGCGAAATTATTATACTTCTACTTTACGCCGGTCTTCTGTGAGGTCGTGGTACTTAACCGGACGAGCCTGCCCATTCGTGCAACGGCCGAGGCTGCTGCGTGGAACCACCGTTAATTGGTGCCCCACGTCAATTACCCGTGAGCCTAGTTTTACTCCAAATCGATTTTTTACGGCAGACAAGTATAACCTATGCTGATAACTGAACGAAAAATCTCCCGGACGTATAAAGCTATTTCTCAGCAGAGTAATCATTTTTCTAATGACTTATGTTTTGAGTTTGTTTTTATTGACCTTTAGTATCTTGCCCTTGTAGTGGGAGAGGTCGCCGAGCTTCTTGAGCTTGACCTCGTAGGGCTGCCCCTGGTTGAGGTAGGTCAGGGTCTCCTCGTTCTGTTTCGTGGCGATGGACGTGGCAGCCGCCAGCACGTACTGGAACCTGGAGCCAGAGATGAATTGAACACATTTTACCCAACGCATTGGTTTAAATACGACATGAATTCCGAGTAATCAATTTTTTTACAAACGAAAAACAAAACCGACTTCAAATATCTCGCACTGTATTTATTTTAATCGATTTTAAGGAGTTCAATAAGTACCTCCGGGGCCAATACCAATGAAATTAATATGTGACCACATGGGAAGCACCAGCTTTCAAGTAAAAAAAAGATCCAATAAAATCTGTTCACTCAGTCGAAAGTTCTGAGGTAATAAATATAAAAAAAAATACAGTCGAATTGACGACCTCCTCCTTTTTGAACTCGGTTGAAAATATCTCGCTTTAAGATATCTATCTAACGATAATAAGTTTTTGAATGTAACAATTGGAGACTTGTTACTCTAGGCGAATATCGGCCTTATACTCGTATTATTATTATTTCTCTTGTACTATACCTCAAAACTGCTTTCTAATAAATGAATATGATCCCGGTATAGAGACAATTTAGTGAGTCAACTACAGCGATTAGCATTGTATGATGTCCCGCGTGTATGGGAGCAAAATGTCTTGTATGAGAGGTGGTGGGAGAAACAGTGACGTCACCTGGTGTCGTCCTTGAAGCTGGGCTCGGAGCGCGACACGGGCGAGTGGAGGAACCCGTCCAGGGAGTTGGCCGGCGAGCACATCAGCAGTCCCCCATCTAGAAGCGGAGTAAAGTATCAGCCCACAGATGTCCCACAGCTGGGCAAAGGCCTCCTCTGTTTGAAATGCAAAATGCGAAGTTGCAAAGCGAGCAGACGGTTCACCCGAGGGTTGCTGATGCGTTAACACCTTTTTGAAAATTGAGCTCCGGCCACCTCACTCACCAGACGAAACGCGAAAGTATTTGTCGTACTTCTACTTTACGCCGGTCTTCTGTGAGGTCGTGGTACTTACCCGGACGGGCCAGCCCATTCGTGCAACAGCCGAGGCCGCTGCGTGGCCCTACCACCGTAACAAAGTCTACGGTCTACCTCTGTACAGAGGGTTAGACCGTAGACCACTATTTTCACTATTCGGAATATTTTTTGTGTGTTATTTCGACAATATGTATGTTCAGGTTCTTTGGTGACTTTTTTTTGTAACATAATATATTATTTCTCGAAAGTTTTTTTCTTTTCACGAAATTTTATGATTATGTTTGTGGCTGTTGAGGTAAAATAGAAAAGTACAAAAAAATTAAAGATAAAAATCTTTTAGTGAAAACGGATGTATTATATCGCCATCTATTGACAATTTATTTAAATGAAAGATAGCGTAGCGACTTACGTATTATTTTATTAGCTTATTAGCTTTCAGTGAATGATTACAGTACTGTGCGAACATTTCGGACGGGTCAGTAACTATGTATTTATTTACAAAAGAAAATTATTTTTATCTATGTTTATCATTTACTTATAAAACATAGAACAAGCTTTGTGTAACTTGAGATATTTCTTTATCTTTAATTTAACACAATGTGGCTGCGTACTTTTATTCTCCTGCGACTCTGGGGAGTGGTAACCGCTCAAAGGAACCAACGCTCCCGGCTGCATGGTCGACTGGCACTGGATATCCGGACTACCGGCTGCAATGAAAGGAAGTTCACAGAACAGTTCGTCTGGTGAGTGAGGTACCCGGGGCCCACTTTATTGAAAGGTGGCAACGCATCTGCAACCCTACGGGTGTTGCATATGTCCATGGGCGGCGGTTATCACTTAACATCAGGGGAAACGCTACTTCAGTTACCACCTTCTCAAATAAAAAAAAGCACACATAAAGGGTCAACCGACTTCAAAAATGGAGGAGGTTCTCAATTCGACTGGATTTTGATTTTTTTCTATTTGAAAGCTGGTGCTTTCCATGTGGTCCCATATTAATTTCATTGATATTGGATCTTGGGCTCCGGAGAAACTTAGGGAACTAAATAAACAATTATAATCGATTATAAAATGAACAACTATAGAACAGTTATAAAATGAATACAGAGCGAGATATTGGTAGTCGGTTTTGTTTTTCGTTAATAAAAAAATGTTATTACGCGTATAATAGCATTAAGATGAGCCATCTGTATTATGAAATAGTATAAATACGACTCCCGAGTTCAATGAACTTTAATTAAGACAACGTGGACATTACATTCTGTTGAGAAATCGACCTTGCTTTCTTTATACAACATTCCCGGGGTGTTCTTCGGTATTTTTAGTCTACTCACAATGCTGAGTCATCATAGCGCCGTTGTGGGGAGGCGACTGGTGGCAGGAGCCATCCTCTATTCCTTCCCTGTTCACGCTGTCCACGACCATGCTCGTGATCTTCGAAAAGGTGAAAGGAATTAATATGGTCCAGACGTGCAACGATAAAAGTCTTACGTGGAATAAAACTACATGCAAACTTGATGAGTATTTTCGCCTTTAGAGGTGAATTCATATATACTCGTATAGGAGGCAGTAGTCGGCGATTATGTAGCAATTCTTAAAGTTCCATCTAACGTCCTATATGGCCTTTAAAATAATATTGCATTTTATTAAGGTTTGCTAATAAGCCACAAAAACATAAGTTAGATTGGAAAAAGCTACAATAAGATTCAAAATTCTATCAGAATTTAATAGCTCCAGAAGGTTTGTATGTATGACTATATTTCATTAACCTGACAAACTTGATGACTTATATATGAGACATAAACATTTTCCCCTAAAATACTAGTTATGTTTCCTAAATGAACGCTCTAAGAACGAAGTAGTAGGTAACTCCAAAGCGACAAACGACGAAACGAATGAGTATAAAGAGATACATCAACATGTATACAACAATATATTACTATGATGACTCCTTGGCGCAGTAGCCAAGGTATTGGCTTCGGCGCCGGGAGTTGTGGGTTCGATTCCCACACGGAACAGCTATATGTGTGACCCACAGATAATTCTAATCTGAGCGATTGTCCACGTGAAACCTATGTGTACAAAGCGTGTTTCCACACAGGACAATTTTATTCTAGGTTAGGATATAGGGTAAAACAACTAAAATAATTATAATGGTATGGAGAGTACCTGACGGTCGTCTATGCGTCTAGCGCAAGGCCAGGCCCGCCTAGGCGGAGATAGCACCGCGCCAGTCGGAGATGGCGCCTCCTGCTTGAACACCGACAAAGATGGCAGCGACAGAAGCGCCTCGCTAGTTACAACAGAGGGAACCATATAAACTTTGTATCAGTCAACAACCGTTTTTTTTTTATGTTTGTCACTTCGGTACTATGCCAAGAGAGAGCTCCTTTATGAACACTGCGTCAGTAATGATTTCCAACCGACTTCGATAAAGGAGGTTCACAATTCGGCTGCATTTTTTTTTCTTACCTCAGAGCTCTGTCGTTTGTGAATCTTTTAGATTTTACGAATTCCTTTCATATTGGTTTCGATCTAGATCCCAATTGTCCCCATATTAATTTCGGAGAAACATCAGGAAAATTCTCAAAATCAGATAGAAAATTAGGAATTTTTTATGTGAAAAGTTGGCAAGCAAGCGGGCGGTTCACCTGATGTTAACCACTCATGGATGGACCGCCACTCATGGACTCGTGGTTGTAGGTGTGGCAATCTTCAAAAGGTAGACCACAGTGATGTCACTCATCAGACGAAACGCGATAATATCATACTTCCGCTTCTCGTTGATCTTCTGAGAGGTCGTGGTACTTTCCCGAACAAAAATTTTCATTTCAAACAAGCTAGTTCGTACTTGAATGAAGTGGGTACGCTGCCGTTGGTGAAACAACGTACTGGATAGGATAACTGACACTTGTGCAGTATGCACAGAATACACACGAACACAGACTATACAGACTAGACAGTGGGCACTGACGAATGATCAGATGAACCTTTTCGGTCGAATACTGGGAACCTTGATTTTAAAAAGATGGAGGCTATAGCCCGTCTAGACCACCGTTTGTGGAAGAGTTTGGAGAAGTAAAGCTATATATGCTCCGTTATGTATCCGATCTTGTAAAGATTTGCAGAGCATTTGCATTCTTTGTGGGGTTGCAATTTGCATTAATTTGTAACGCAAATTGTAATATTAGGAGCGGCTTAGTTATTTTCTTAGGATTTTGTCGGAGCGTTTGCGGGCTCTGAGCTCACTTACTGAATGGATTCCCTTATAAATATAAGAAATCAATAAAAAAGTCTACGAACTTCATGGACAGCTCGCCGGGCAGATCCAGGTCGAGGTCGTTGACCTGCCAGCCGGGCGAGAGATGGGACGACGAGGAGCTGGTGCCGCTTCCGCCCATCTCGCCCAGGGACGCTGGAACAGCCGAGAAAATACCGATGTTAGTAAGTTCAGTTTAATAGTTTGCATTACACCGTTCAATCATCCACGCCATAAGTCGCGTTCTTGATATCGAATATTGTTCATTCTTATACGATAAAATGTATTAAATTAACGTATAACGTTGTCCTGATTTCAAAAAGCCGTCGCTACGGGACATCCGAATAAGTATTTTTTTATTAATAGTTGCATTTATTATATTGGCATTAGATTATTGTTGGTCTTCTCGCAAATAATATGTATGAACTTATAATCTCTATGGCTATACCATTTGTACCTGGCTGGTTGAGGTATTATTAAAATGTTTCAATTTTAGAAAAGATAATTCCAAATTCAAATTAGTAAAATGTGTGATTTTCATTTGTTTGGGTGCCTCATGAGCTCACTGAAAAAAACCTAATGAACCGTGTACTCATTTGTGATTCTTTATAACGACGTAATGAAACCATTTTTGAAAAACATGATAACTGGTCATCACCAGTTATTATGTAAAAGTGGATCACGTAAGACAAGAACGTGCGAAAAAGGTCGTGGTCAAAGGCTGGTCAGGCTCCACAGACTGTGGCGAAACCCGGGTAATCTCGCATCAAAGTAATGTTGTGTATGGTGGGATTGGAAGGGCATTATTTATTATGAGCTGTTACCGCCAGGCAAGACCATCGATTCTGAACTCTACTGCGAACAACTGATGAGATTAAAGCAAGAAGTTGAGAGAAAGCGGCCGGAATTATTCAACAGAAGGGGTGTGGTTTTTCATCATGATAACGCTAGACCTCACATATCTTTAGCCGCTCGGCAAAAATTAAGAAAGATTGGCTGGGAGGTGTTAATGTATCCCCCGTATAGTCCTGACCTTGCACCTTCAGATTTCCACTTGTTTGCTTAGAATTCTTTAGGCAGTGTCAGGTTAACATCACGAGAGGACTGTCAATACCACTTGTCGCGGTTTTTTGATCAGAAGCCCCAGAATTTCTATAGCAATGGGATCATGTCCCTACCTACAAGATGGCAGAAAGTTATCGAACAAAATGGCACCTACATACTTTAGTTAAATGTAAATAAACTTTATTAAAAATATTTTGAATTTTCATATAAAATGCGAAGAAACTTTTTCCCCCGCCTATTATAATAATTAGTTAACTAATTTACAGTTGCAAGATAAACCCAAACACTATGGTTTGGGTTTATCACGTGAAAAGTTAAATTATATAACGATAAAACATAAATAGGAGTATAGGTAATAGAAATAACGAAAAGAAACGTAAGTATTGAGACGTAAACGTAAGTATTGACAAAAGTGTAAGTATTGGGACGTAAACGTAAGTATTGACGAGAGTGTAAGTATTGAGACGTAAACGTAAGTTTTGACGAAAGTGTAAGTATTGAGGTAAGACGTATTTCTCTTGGAAGGTAAAGGTTATGGTGCTTTGATTAAAAATCTCGAGAGGGTATTCTTAGTATTTTTGTAGGAACCGTCTTCTTCTTCTTGTTCTTTGATTAATGGCCTCTCTTAAAAGAATTCTGCCAATGTCATGTCAGTAGGAACCGTCTAATAAGTTACTTTATAAGCTCGTGTCTCGAATAAGGGATTTGGAGAGCTCAGAAATCAGTAATTTTGCCTACGATATCTTCGGACCTAGCAACACTGGGTACGTTCCACATTCCACGTCTCTAGAGTTACAGACTGACATCTTAGACAATATAACAGGACTAAGAGTACCTTTAATAATTCTTAACTTATCACATGTTAAGACTTAAGTCTACTTTTACTTAAGTGAATGAAAACATGCTTTTGCAAAAGCTCTATGTACTTTATAGCACAATTCAACTCTTCGACAAGTTACGAGTCGAAAGAAAATGCATATATCCAATATAATTAAAAGTTAAAATATAGTCCGAGCGATTTCTAGGCGACACGAATCCACCGGTTTCGTGTCGATATCTAAAATTGCCGCGACACGAGGCACTTTTATCTGTAGGGTCACAGGCAATTGTAAGCACGATTGCTCAGTGATCTATAAACTGGTTACCCTTATCAACGCGGTCCGGTTAGCTGACGAGACGAAACTTCAGTAATTCGCTACGTATCTAAGCAAGTGTTACTAACGGTGGGACAGGTAAAACCTATGCTTCTGTTTATTACGCTCTCAAAGCATGCTTGAGTGAGGTAAAGAATCGAGGCCCGGCTTTTAAAGAAGTAAAATAGAAGTGTTACACTTCTGCGTTTCGCTTACTTAATGAGGTTACCGGCCCTCTTTATTAAAAGGTGGCAACGTATCTGCAAGTGTTACAGGTATTTTATACCACCAGGTGAACCTCCAAATCGCTTGCCAACCTTCCACACCACAAAAAAGTCTTACATTCTTATTTCAAATATTATAACCAAAAAAAAGGAACGTACATTTGCAATATGAAAGTCCATAAAAATTTTGTTTCGAATATTGCAATTCAAGTCTATCCGATTCATTGTTCAAGACCTACCTAGTCAGATTGTTGGTACCTATCTGTCAGATAGGTAGCAACAATTCAAATGCCTGGTGCCGTTCTTAGATTGAGAACAGCATTAAAGATACTTGATTTTCGTAATTCTTTGCCACATTTGAAACAATAAAGGATCATACTTAATTTCACCCCAACAAAAAACTATTTAAATTGGAAAAGTGCAACGGTCAGCGTTATAACTGAAAGCGATTCACAGGGAGCCATTGACAATAAGTAATCACCGATGACCACATCTAGCGCCTACAAAGAAATCGCTGCAACAAATCAATCAGCCTCATACATTTTTATGGACTCATAACGTTCCCCGTTGGACTTCAGTCCGGCGTGTCGTAATGTTGGCCAATAATAGCTCGTGCCTTCCTTATCGGCGCCCTCTGACACCGGCGGGGATGGCGACCAGAACCAGTTACTGCCGGCCGATAGTTTGCGAACGCTCTATGGTCGATTTCAATATACTGGCACGTACCAATCGCAGACGCGGTGACGGGCCGTTGTGAAAATGGACTTTTATTCGTTATTTTCGTCCGACTTCAAAAAAGGAGGTTCTCAATTCCGTTGTATTTTTTTATATGTTTCACCTCGGAACTACGAAATTTATGCATGGATTTGGCCCTCGCGCTCCGGAGATAATTCAGGGAACTGATCAAATTCAAATAGAAAATGTATAGTGATTGAGACATTTGATTTCGGTTTTGATTTTGTTGATAACATGTCTATTTTTTTATTAACGAAAAACAAAACCGACGTCAAAAACCTCGCTCTGTATTCATTTTATAATGGATTTTCCGGAGTTCCCTGAGTACCTCCGGATCTCACGATCCAATACCAATGAAATTAATATGTGACCGCATGGGAAGCACCGGCTTTCAAATAAAAATTATCAAAATCGGTTCACGTACTCGAAAGTTCTGAAGTAAAAGTAGTACAAAAAAATTCAGGTCGAATTGAGAACCTCCTCCTTTTTCGAAAGTCGGTTGAAAATATATTTGTGTCCGGTCGTTTTTAAATTATCTTCATGCTTGTAATCGCTGGTGAGATTGTGTGTGATATTGTAACTTCTGAATGAGTAAATCGATCATATAAAAAAATACCTTTACATTTAATTTAGACGAAGGCACATAGAAGGAACACAGACATTATAATCAGCTAGCGCAAATAAAATTATTGTGGCCATCAGTTTTGTTGTCAGTACATATTAGCGATAAGTTATGCTCTGCCTGTGATACAAGGCGACTAAAAGGGATTTTGGGTCCACGGGTTATCGTGATTACCTAATGTAGGGAACCTAGTGGGCAGCACGGTGTTATGAAACCAAATCGTCACAGATGAAGATAGGTACTGAGGTAGACGTCACGAAATGCAGCCTCGTATTGGCTGTCGTAGTGTTAACTGGCCAGTCACTAGATTTGACGACCTGTGAAAGTCGATGATTACAGACGGCTCATGGTCGAGCTTCGTAGCGGGCTGTGGGGGAGGCCATTTTTTGGTATGGGGGGGAAATCTTCAAAAGATATCTCACATAGCAGGGTTATGTTGGGTTCACACCCACTAAAACCTACCATCGGTGGCCACTTACTGTACGTTTGGAGGGACTCGGGGATCTCCTATGGAACGCACCGGTGTCCCTCGGGACTGCGCAAGAGCACGCTTCGGAGAAGGATATCTTCCCCGGTTCCTTCACCATCATGCAATATCTCGAGACCACTTCGTAGCCGTGATAGCTCAGTGTCCGGGCGCTCGCCTTTAATTCAATATACTCGAGCAACCTGAGTTCGATCCCCGGTGCCGGCACCAATGAAGTTTTTAACTTTAAGTGCTGACTTATCACGTGCTCCGCGGTGAAGGAAAACATCGTGAGGAAACCTGCATATTTTCGAAATAATAACAAAAAAAAATATTTCGAAGATGTGTGAAGTCCGCCAATCCGCAGTGGGGCCGCGTGGTGGACTATGCCCTGATACCCTCTGTATAGAGGAGGCCTTTGCCCAGCAGTGGGACATGTATAGGCTGTTACTTTACTTTACTTTTACTTCGTACTGCTTCCAGTCCGTCCCCTTTTAGTCGCCTTATACGAGAAGCAACCTTAGCACTATTCTATGGGTACAGGGTTGCTGTGGAGGAGGCTTAACTTCATCAGTGGACTTAAACGGGATGAAAGCAACAAGTGGACTCAAGACAGCCCTAAAAGCGACTGAGCGGTGTACCGTAAGCGTTGTAAGTGATGCTAGCGAAGGCGTGGGCCCCGAACTCGGCCAGGCGACGACCCTCCCTGGCCTCGCGCGCAGCGAACTGCAGCACCGCCGCTGCAGACACCCTGTCTGCCTGCGGGGTCGAGTCCTCCACCATGATGGATGGACACTCTGATAGACGATCGACAGGATCAATGCCGCGTATAGCCAGCATCAGTTCACATCCGTGGACAACAGTCCGTCAACTTCCTTGTTGTAGTGCTTCCCCGCGTAATCACGCGACAC